CAGCAGCAGCAGCAGCAGCAGCAGCAGCAGCAGCAGAAGAGACTGCCTGAGGGTTTTTATTCTGCTTTAGCTGACGCCAAGTTGGAGCAACTCCGCAACGAGGGGAGGTGAGGAGACAGCAGAAAGAGCTGCTGCAGTTTATTTTGTCTGTCTCCTTTTTGCTTTTTGTCTCTTTTTTTGTCTCCTTACCGGCGAAAGGACACCTCCCCTTTGTTTTTTATTTATTTTTTTTAAAATTGTTTTATCTGTCTTATCTATTTTATTTTATTTAGTTATTGTCTCTCTTCTTTGTTATGCCATAGGCTTGCTTACTTTATTTATTTATTTATTTATTTTATTTATTTGTTTATTTGTTCTTTAATTTATTTGTTTTGTTTGTGGGTGTCTCCTCGTTGTCTCTTTTTCGTTTGTATTTCCCTCTAAGTCGATTTATATTTATAAAACATTTTTTATTTTTTATTTTTTCTTTCATCTTAGCATTCTCATGTTGTGGGGTGTGGGGTGTATATGGAGGTGTTGTGGGGTGTGGGGTGTATATGGAGGTGTTGTGGGGTGTGGGGTGTACATGCAGGTATCGGGTATTTGCAACATTAAAAAGAGAAAGGGGTTGTCTTCCTTCTGCTTTATTTCACGGAGTAAAAGGAGAAAAACAAAGAGTAACAGTTTGGTGTTCAAATGATTACTTAGGCATGAGCCAGCACCCCGTTGTACTAGAGGTAGCCCTAAACCCTAAACCCTAAACCCTAAACCCTAAACCCTAACTTCTAAATCCTAAAAGACCTAGATCTTAAAAGAGCCCTAACACCATCACTTTCTTACAGGGCATTATCATGAGGGTTTATGAGGTAATAAATTGATAAAAGGGGTTTAATAAAAGGATGCTTTCAGTTGAATTAGGGTTTAGGGTTTAGGGTTTAGGAGGATTTGAGGGTCTGCACAGGCGGCGAAGAAAGCTTTAGAAGAGAGCGGCGCTGGGAGTGGAGGGACGCGAAATATATCGGGGACGAACATCTATCATGACGAACTCGAACGAGAAATTGCAGAGTGGTTAGAAGAGGGTTTAGGGTTTAGGGTTGAGGGTTTAGGGTTTAGGGTTTAGGGTTGAGGGTTTAGGGTTTAAGGTTTAGGGTCTAGGGTTTTAGGGTTTTGGGTTTAGTGTTTAAAGTTGAAGGTCTAGACTTGTTTAGGGTTTCGGGTTTAGGGTTTAGGGTTTAGGGTTAATAAGAATTAAGAAGGGTTTAGGGTTTATAGATGGAGATGAGAAGAAGTACGTTAATGTTTGTTTGTTTGTTTGTTTGTTTGTTTGTTTGTTTGTTTGTAGGCATGGGAAGGAAGCAGCATTATTATTTACTTCAGGATTTGTCGCTAATGAAGCTGCTTTATCTGCTTTGTCTGCGGTGTATCCTGGGCTCTTATATTTTTCTGATAAAGACAACCATGCCTCTTTAATTGCGGGGATGTCTAGCAGCAAAGCAGAGAAAAGAATATTTAAACATAATGATATGCAGCATTTGCGATCCCTCTTAGAACAAGATGCTGAGACAACTCCTCCATCTCCTACTGCTGCTGCTGCTTCTGCTGCTGCTGCAGCTCCTGTTCCTGCTGCAGCAGCAGCATCAGCTGCTGCTGCTGCTGCTGCTGCTGCTGGGGGTGGGGGTGCTCGTCCTAAGGTGATAGTATTAGAAAGCATTTACTCTATGGATGGGTCTCTAGCCCCTCTGCAGCAAGCATGCGCATTAGCAAAAGAATTTAACTGTCTCCTTTATGTAGATGAAGTGCATGCAGTTGGTTTGTATGGAGAGAACGGCTCAGGGGTCGCGCATCATCTCGGCGTCTCCTCGCAAGTTAATCTTATCAACGGTGAGTCTTATTCTGTCTCCTCATGCTTCATATCTGTCTCCTTCTGCTTCATATCTGTCTTCTTCTGCTTCATATCTGTCTCCTCCTGCTTTATATCTGTCTCCTTTTGCTTCATATCTGTCCCCTTATGTTTTATATCTGTCTTCTTCTGCTTTAGATCTGTCTCCTTGTGCTTTAGATCTGTCTCCTCCTGCATTCGATCTGTCTCCTTTTGCTTCATATCTGTCTCCTTCTGCTTTAGATCTGTCTCCGTCTGCTTTATATCTGTCTCCATTTGTTTTGTCTGTCTCCTTATGTTTTATATCTGTCTCCTTTTGTTTTATCTGTCTCCTTTTGTTCAATAAGTCTGCGTTTCTTTTATCTTTCTCTCTCTTATATAATTTTGTTTGCTCTCCTTTTGTCTCCTTTTGTCTCCTTTCTTTCTGTCTCCTCTTGAATTTACTCTGTTTTATTCTTCTCTGTTTTATTCTTAATTTAATTTAATTTAATTTAATGTAATTTAATTTATTTTTATTTTATTTGTAGGTACACTTGCAAAGGCTGTCGGTGTCTTTGGGGGTTATGTCGCCGGAGACAAAAACCTCATCGACTGCATTCGCTCTTGCGCAAGTATATTTGATAAACTCTTTTAACTCTTTAAACTCTTTAAACGTTTTAAGCACTTTTTAATCCATTTAAAGGGTCCATTAGGGCTTATTATGGGGGTTTAGGGTTTATAAGTGTTTAATAGGGTTTAGGGTTTAGGGTTTAGGGTTTATATGGGTTTATTAGGGTCTATTAGGGTTTTAAAGGGTTTTCAAGGGTTTACTAGGGTTTATAGGGGTTTATTAGGGTTTATAAGTGTCTATTAGGGTTTGTTAGGGTTTAGGGTTTAGGGTTTATAAGGGTTTATAATGAAGGTTTGATGCTGTTTCTTCAGGGGGTTTTATCTTCACCTCTTCGCTGCCTCCGACAGTCACTGCAGCGGCAGCAGCCTCAATAAAATATCTTAAACGATCGAGGTAAATTGTGTCTCCTTTTGTCTCCTTTTGTCTTCCTCATTTGTCTTCTTCTTTTTGTCTCCTCCTATCTCCTTCTGTCCTCTTCTTTTTGTCTCCTTTTGTCTCCTTTTGTCTTCTTTTTGTCTCCTTTTGTCTTCTTCTTTCTGTCTCCTTTTGTCTCCTTTTGTCTCCTTTTGTTTCATTTTCTCTCCCTTCTCTTTGTCTCTTTTTTGTCTCCTTTTTGTCTCTTTCTCTGTCTCCTTCTGTTTCCTTTTGTCTTCTTCCTTCTGTCTCCTTTTGTCTTCTACTTGTTGTCTCCTCTTTGTATTTATTTCTTATTTTTGTCTCCTTTTGTCTCTGTACTGTGCTTTTTTAATTTTGTTTTTGTCTCTCGTCGTTGTCTCTGCTGCTCTCCGTTATGCTGCGTCTTCGTTTGCTGTTGCTGCTGCTGCTGCACTTGTTGCTGCACTGGCTGCTGCTGCACTTGCTGCTGCTGCACTTGCTGCTGCTGCACTTGTTGTTGCTGTTGCTGCTGCTGGACTTGTTGCTGGTGGTGTTAATTGTTGCAGCATTATCTGAGAGTTTTGCTGCTGTATGTTTGTTGTCTGTTGCATGCATTGCATGCACTGGGGTGTATATACACCGCAGCAAAGAGCGTTGGCTGCAGCAGGTGCGATCTAGCCAGCTGAAGCTGCTGCTGCTGCAGCGAGACCTGCCTCTTATATTTAATTCTTCTCATATTATCCCCCTTCTCGTTGGAGACCCCAAGAAGTGCAAAGCAGCAACAGATATGCTTCTTAATGAATATCATGTAATGCTGCTGCTGCTGCTCCTGCTCCTGCTCCTGCTGCTGCTGCTCCTGCTGCTGCTCCTGCTGCTGCTGCTCCTGCTGCTTCTGCTGCTGCTCCTGCTCCTGTTGGTGCTACTGCTGTTGCTGCTTCTGCTGCTGCTCCTGTTGCTGCTGTTGTTTATGGTGCTCCTCCTGCTGCTTCTGCTGCTGCTGCTCCTCCCGCTGCTTCTCTTGCTGCTGCCCTTTTTGCTACTTCTGCTGTTCCTTAATGGGTGTAATATGCTGCTACTGTTCTTGCTGCTGCTGCTGCTGCTGCTGTTCAGGTGTACATACAGCCGATTAACTACCCCACAGTGCCTAGAGGAGAAGAGCGTCTGCGCATTACTCCGTCTCCGTTTCATACAGAAGAAGATATTATGCATTTAGTCGAAGCTCTAACAGACATTTGGAGACGATTAGAGCTGCCTTCTGCTGCAGATTGCATGCAGAGAGGCATCTGCCTCAACAGACACGGGAAACAGCAGCAGCAACTACTCAACTTGCTGCAGCAGCAGCAGCAGTTCGTTCAGCACCAAGCTGCAGCCAACAGCAGTAGCAGCAGCAAAAGCAGCAGCAAAAATAATGCTCAGATGTGTCCGTTCGGAGCAGCAGAAACAGCAGAATGGCAGCGACAGGCTGCTGCAGCAACAGCAGCAGCAAACTCCTCTGCTGCTGCTGCTCCTGCAGCAGCAGCAGCAAATATAACGGATACAGAGCAGCAGCATCACCAGCAGAACAACATAAGCAACTGGCACGAAGCGCTGCAGCAGCAGCTGCTGCAACAGCAGCTGCTGCAGCAGCAGCTCATGTGCACACAGTTTTTCTTCTCTAATAACTCAACATCCCCCAGCTTCTCAGGTACCTCAAACAAAGCTGCTGCTGCTGCTGCAGCAGCTGCTGCTGCAAGTGCTGCAGCAGCGGCAGGAGGAGGAAGCACACACTGAAGAGGCTGCGCCCAATCAAGAAGACAAAGCTGCAGCAGCTACAGCAACAGCAGCAGCAGCTGCTGCTGCTGCACCGACAAGTGCAGCAACAATGGTTACATCAACAGCAACGGCAGCAAAAGCAGTAGCAGCAGCAGCAGCTGCTGCTGCTATTGGTGCAAGAAAAGGCAGCAGCGGCAACAGCAGCAGCAGCAGGAGCAGCAGGAGCAGCAGCAGGAGCAGCAGGAGCAGCAGCACGAGCAAGAGCAGCACGAGCAGCAGCAGCACCAGCACCACCGGCAGCAGCACCAGCACCACCGGCAGCACCAGCACCACCGGCAGCAGCAGCAGCAGCAACTGCAGCAGCAGCAGCAGCAACTGCAGCAGCAGCAGCAGCAACTGCAGCAACAGCTGCAGCAGCAGCAGCAGCAGCTTTGAGAGGATTTGGGTCTACGAAGGCAACGTGTCTCAAGAGAGACAATTTGTAGGTGCATGTACACCTCAGCATGCGTCTGCATGCAGTTTGAAAAACCTTCCGTTTAAATGCCTCGAGGCGTTTGCTTCATTCACAGTGCCTAGGGTTTAGGGTTTAGGGTTTAGGGTTTAGACGAAGTTTGTTTCTTCAGCTCCTTTGCTTTATGTCTCTGCTTTAGTATTGAGATAGAGTAATGCATATATAAATAAAGAAGCAATAAATAATAAATAACAAATAATAGATAAATAAATGTTTATTAGTTAATCTCCTCTGTCTGCAATTAAGCTGTTAAAGAAACAAATAAATAAATAATAGACAGTAAACAAATAAATAAATATTTATTAAATAATATTTATTTATTTTTCTGCATTTGTGTGGCGCTCGGCGATCCAAAAAAAACAAAAAAAAACAACTCGAAAATCCACCGCACAAATTATGCAACATATAATATATATATATGTAAATGTATATATGCATGTATATATAAATGTATATATAAATGTATATATAAATGTATATATATATATTATATAAATGTATATATATATATTATATAAATGTATATATATATAAAGAAAGAGATGTATATATATATACATATGTATATACATATATATATGTATATATGTATATATGTATATATATACATATGTATATATATAGAGGGAGCAGAGATATATATATATATATATAATATATATATTTAGTTGTTGATTGATACATGTATAAAGCGACAGTACACTCACACCCACGTATGTATATATATCTATATAAACACCAGAAGCTTATATATA